TTTTTTCACATTTGTTTTCAGTAGAAACTGTGTTGAATGCAATTATTTCAATACACTGTACAACTTTTTTATGCATTGTTTTTGGTTTTTACAAAAAAAACCTATCTTGATAATTAATGCATTGCATTGAAACACCACTGACAAATTGATTGAAATACTACTGATGAATGAATTGAAACATCACTGATGAATTGATTAAAAAACCACTGACGAATTAATTAAAACACCACTGATTGATTAAAACACCACTGATTGATTGAAACAACACTGATTGATTGAAATACCACTGATGAATTAAAACACCACTGATGAATTGAACTAAGTTATTTCATAGAAACACCACTGATACTTTAAGTTGTTATATAGAAACACTGCTGATGCTTCAAGTTATTCTATTAAAACGCCACTGATGAATTGATCAAAACACCACTGATGAATTCATTGTAACACCACTGATGGTTCAAGTTATTCCATTGCACAAAATATTTTAACCATTTAGGGAAAATACATTTAGTGCTCCAAAAGATACCCAATCTATAAATATTTCAAGATATCCAATTTTGTACCACATAAATAATTGCATAAGATTTAAACCCTGCCACAAACATCAAAAAACAAATACTAAATATGTCTAATAAATACTAAATATGTCAAAAATACAACTAGCTACATCTTTTTGAAAAAATTAAAGTAACTTGAACTATAAAAATATTCTAGTACCATGAAAAACTCATAAAGTTTAAAATATATACAACACAATAACATTAATAACTAAAAATAAACTTTGGCATATATGACTGGCTGGAAGTCAAAGCTCAGCCTTTTTATTGTCATAAACATTCTTTTCTTTAACAAAATATGATTCAAATATGAACATAATCTCATATTAAGATCATATTTTGCTTATTTACTCACAGAAAAAAAAAAAAAAAAAATACTGAAGTTTGCCAAAAAGAAATTTTTTTTGTAGGAATTCAATATTCTTGTATGAGAAAAACCTATGTATACAATAAGGCCATGTGGTTAACCAAACCAAAAAATCAGAATAGAACTTAAATGATTAAATTATTTAAAGGAACAAATAAACTGAACTGAAACTGAGAAACCCTGGAAAAATGGATATAAAATTAAAAGATAACAAAAAACTTATTCTACGCCTAATTATTAAGTTATGTTAGTTTTTTAATTTAAGAGTTTTCAAACTATAGAAAAGCAAATTAATAAAAAAGGAAGGATGTAAAAAAAAGGATGTAAATATAACTTCAAAAAATAAGTTATTATAAGTGTTAATCAATGTTGCTGTGAAATCATATCATATATTATGGACCAACAAGGAGTATGAATTTGGAGAGTCTTAGACACCAGAGTTTTGTAAAATGTAAGTAAAATATGAGATTTTTCTTAACAGTTGTAATTTTTAACAAGATATTTCAGCAGTCAGTGCTTCAACAACCACTAAATTTTGAAATTTGCAATAGCAAAAAAAACTTGCAATAGCTGGACCTCTCAGTGACATAAACAAATTTTCTAAAGAGTAACATGACTATACGATTAGACAAACCTTTTATTGGGTAATAAACACATATCATTTTTTTTATCAGAACTGGCAATAGAATGATTATGTGTAAAAAAGAACTGCTGTATACATAACTGTAAGTATTGTCATTAATTCATCTCTAAATTAAAAACAGCTGTTGTGAAAAATATGCGCTGAAATACTATGAAAAATATGCGCTGAAATGCAATGAAAAAGATAAAGTTTTATTGTTAAACACACTGCCATCAACAAATTTGAAAATATTACTATTTAAAGTCTCTGACATCTTTATCTTAGGCTTTTTCATTTAGTTATCAGTATTAACTGGTTATACTGTACAGTATTAACAGTACATGTACAATACTGTACAGTATTAACTGGCGTATCATTAACTGGTTATACTGTACAGTATTAACTGGCGTATCATTAACTGGTTATACTGTACAATATTAACTAGCATTAGAAATAAAAAATCTCAATAAAATGCTGTCAAACATTGGAACAAAAATTGGTTTCAGGTGTTTACTGGTCTCCATACGTTTACTAATATTTATTTATTATTCAATTGATTAGTGTTTATACAGATTTCCTTATGATTGATTATATATCACTGGTGGTTTGTATTAAAGTAAAGTTTGCAAAGCAACGTTCCAAGTTTGTGATGCATTTAGGTTGTGATGCAGCAAAATCGTTTTTAGAAAAAGAAAAAAGAATAGCCTTTGATAGTCCTCTCTGAGTATCCAGAATTCCTTGCGACATTTTATCATTTAGACAAATCACTTATAATTTCTATGAAAGTATTATGTAATGTAACAAAGAATTGTAATTCCAAGAAAAAATAAGGTATTGATTGTTTAAATCTAGTATATATGACATAAAAGCTCCTTCTGTTGAGCTCTTATATATTACATTAGTAATCATAAAACTAGATTGGCTGATGCAAAATGCAACTGCTAATCAAGATGATTTATAAACCATGAATGATAAGTGAAGAGGAACTTCTGACAAATGGTTAACCAATCCATTAACACCGGATAATGTACTGAACTTCATAAAGTGTAGCTGTACCACAGCTTATGACATCCATACAACTTCTGCACAAAACTTTTATCATGATACTTACACAATATTTATAATAATGTTTATGATCATCATCATAAATGTTTAGGAAGATGGTGTTGAAAATTATGATGATGGTGTTGACAAATATGATGAATATAAAAAAGACTTACTAGAAGATTATCTTCTATTGGAATGAACTAAACTTATTAATTTTAACAAATAATTTTAAATTTATGAATTTAAAACTTTCTTAGAGAGCAAGGAGAGAACGCTGCAAAATACTATTTTATTGTTTATATTGAACATAAATTGATAAAGTCAATAACAATGTTTTGCCTTGAAATTATTACAAATTGATAGGCCAATTAGAATTGAAAAGAGATGTTTGAAAGGTAAAAAAACTTTTTTTTTAAAAAGGTAACATCAAAAATCAATATAGCAAACCCACAATGATAAGCTTTTAAAGGTCATCAGGTCGGGTTTTTGAATAGAGAAACCTTTACTTCAGAATCTCCATGCTCTAAAATGTTCATTTACATAAGAATTCTTTAGAACTCACAAATTCACCGCAAACATTATTTTAAGTTTAGATCTTTCAACAGTCTCATAATTATGTTTTTAACTCATTAAGTTTTTATAACTCATTATTCTGTGATTCTATTAAAGCTATATTCAATGGTAATAAATTTTTTTTTTGCAATTAATGATAATTACAATTTACTTACAAAATTAATTTAATAAACCAATTTAATACATACATACATATAAAATATATATATGTTTATAATATACAATAATGCTAATGTTTATAATATAATTTAATATTGGAAGTATATATAAGTAAATACTAATGTTTATAATATAATTTAATATTGCAACTCTGAGTTTCATGTGTTACCACAATCTACATTTCAATGCTTGTTTAAAATATTTATTTATGTGATAATGTGCATTATTTATACATTAAAAAAATAAAAAATTGAAAATTGATATAAAAATATAAATGGAATATACTACAATAGCTGTATTTAATATTACATGTATGTGAGTAACTTATTAGTTAGCCTAGAGTAGAGTAATATAATTATTATTAGTTGTTAGTTAGGTTTGTAGCGAGCTTTGTAATTGTTAAATAAAATTTTTTTTTGTGACTTTGATATGATTTCGGTTCTTTTATTTAGCAACTCCTAAGGTTTTGGATACAATATAATAGCTAATTTCTTATATAGTCATAATGGGCACCTTTTGGAAATATTTGAGAAGGGGGTTATTTAACATTACTGAATGATGATTTGTGATTGTTATACTGGTTTTCCATCCACCTTCCATCAATCCAATATAAACTTTGTTGGGTTGGTTTTTGCTGCGATGATTCATTTATATATAATGTTTGTGGATTTGTCCTTACCATTCATTGGGTATACTGCTATATTTCGACAATTGCAATTTGGGTCATTATTTTCAATTCTTTGGAAGATAATTTTTTATTGTGTTATAATTTTTCAATATATTCAGTGCAGCCTTTAAAGTGCTACTGTTAAAGATTTTGTGAAAAAGTTTTAGGGAAGTCTTTTTCTAATAAATTTAAAAACATTTTAGCAACATTTGTAGAGACATTATTGTTAAATGTGGGGTTGAAACATATGATATTGGGTTTACAATTTTTTGGGATGTTTTTTGTTTGATCTGATATTTAAGGGAGCAGATTTTGTATCCCTTACTTTTTAGTACTTGTTTATATTCATTTTTAGATTGAATAAATATAACTTTGTTTGATGAATTTTGTGAAAGTCTGTTACATATTGAAGTAAATGTTTGATAATTTGTGGTGGCTGATTAGAAGATGTGTGGATGTATTGAAGATTATCGTTGGGTTTTTGAAAGGCTTATGAGTGTTTTGGGCTAAATTAAAGGTGACATTAAGGAAGTTAACTGATTCAAGATTTGTTTTTATATCTATTTGAAATCCTATATATTGAAACTTTTGGATTATATTTTTTTGCATTTGCTATATGTCTTGGCCATTAGAATTACATTAGTATTATCAACAAACCATCATCACGGTAAAGCCCTATGCTCGTTTTTATAATTATATTGGATAGAATGTAAATTCCTACATGATTCAGTTTTTTTATACTAGTATTGTTGTTGTTGTAGAGGAGGGAACCCCAAAACATCCTCTTAACAAATCGTAGCAAAATTAAATTTTTACTACTTGGCTGAAGATTGTGGTAACACATGAAACTCAGAGTTGCAATATTAAATTATATTATAAACATTAGTGTTTAGCTATTTCCTGGTACTGTAGGTAACAGTAACATATATACTATATAGCTCTAGGTTATTATATAAGTCAACGTACAGTTACAAATAAAACTAAAAAAATTAAAAAAAAGTTTACTTAGTAGCAAGCTCTGCGACAATAGTTGTTAAACACTGATAACAATTAAACTGCTGCAGGTAACTGATGTTAAGGTTGTCTTTTAAAAGTACTATCTCATACAGAGGATCAACCCAAATTGAAGGATCATGCAAGCCATATGTTTCTGCGACTAGAAAAGCCTGGTAATGTTAAAAAAAAATTAGTAAATAATTATCTCTGCAAGCAACCACACAAATACAAAAACAAAAAAAAACAAATAAAAAAAACAAATTCTTATAAAGCCTTATACAGTTCAGTGTAATGTTCAGTGTAATTGTTTCACCTAAATGTAATTTTTCAGACTATTTAAATAACCCAAATGTTAACTCCTTTTTTATAGATCCAGTCACTGAAAATGAAGTATCAAATCTTACAAAAAGTTTACAAAGTAAAAAAAGTTTAGGTATCAATAGTATTCCCACGTTTCTTCTCAAACTTGTTTCCCATATCATCTCAAAGCCTCTCTGTACAATGATAAATAGTTCATTTGAAAATGGACTTATTCCAGATGTCTTTAAAATAGCTAAAGTTATTCCACTTTATAAAAAAGGCTCTAGAACTGACCACACTAACTATTGCCCAATTTCGCTACTGTCAAACATCAGTAAAATATTTGAAAAAGCTATGCACAACAGACTCTACAACTTTTTAGATAAATATCAATGTCTTTACAAACACTAATATGGGTTTCGAAGCATGCATTTCATAACTCATGCACTTATTGAAATCACTGAGGTTATCAGAAAAGCTCTTGACAATAAGCTTTTTGCTTGTGGTGTGTTTGTTGATCTACAGAAAGCATTTGACACTGTTGATCATTCTATTCTTCTAAGTAAACTGGAATACTATGGTATTAGAGGAATTTCTCTCCAATGGTTTACCTCATATCTTTATAATAGGTTTCAATTTGTATCTATTAACGGTAACACATCTTCTTTAGTAAAATGCACTACAGGTGTACCTCAAGGCTCTGTATTAGGACCATTGCTTTTCCTTGTTTTCATTAACGACCTTAATTTATCATTAAAATATACAACTTCTTACCATTTTGCTGATGAAACTAACTTACTTTTAATTAACAAATCATTAAAAAAAATAAACAAATATATTAATCATGATCTATCTAATCTAATTCAATGGCTTCGATCTAACAAACTGTCTCTGAATATTAGTAAAACTGAAATTATCATCTTTAAATCAAAACAATCTAAAATCAGTAAAAACCTAAATTTTAGGCTGAGTGGTCAAAAAATCAATCCAGTTATGTACCTAAAGTATCTTGGAATCAAAATTGACTCAAATTTAACTTTTTCTCAACATCTTAAGGACTTGTCAATAAAACTATGTAGATCGAATGGGATGTTAGCTAAAATTCGTCATTATGTCAATCTTGAAACTCTTATCAATATATACCATGCCATTTTTGGATCACATCTTAGGTATGCATGTCAAGTTTGGGGACAAATCCGCACCCAAAAAATTTTAAGATTATCCAACTTACAAAACAAAGCATTAAAAATAATATATTTTCAGCATTATCAATCTAACTCCGATCATTTATCCAAAATACTCAAAATTGATGATCTAGTTCAACTATTAAATTGCCATTTTGTCTTTAATTATAAACAAAAATGTCTACCCAGCACATTTACAAATTTTTTTACTGTTAGAGGAAGCTGTCGCTATCATCTACGATCTGCTAATAGCTATAATCTTCATGTACCAAATCATTCTTCTGTAAAATATGGTCTAAAATCCATAAAATACCAAAGTGTAAAATCATGGAACAGTCTACCTTTGCCATTAAAATCAATTGACTCAATTACTAATTTCAAAAACTGTCTTTTTAACTATTTTTTAGCAAGATATTATACCTGAAGCCTCTGAAATATGTTGTTATGCTTTTATTATTACTACTCTCTTGATACTTACTAGTTTTATTATTAACTTTTTGTTCTCATATTTTTATTGTTATTATTAGTATTGATATTAATAATATTCTTCTATCTTCACTAGTAAATTGTTATTTTTATTTATAACATAATAAGTATTATTATTGCTTTTTTTAATTTTTTCTTAAGTTTATTTACTACTTATACTATGTAATTGTTTTTATCACTATTATTGCTATTATCTAATATTGATTGTATATTATCTTTATTATTATTGTTAGTATTGTTACTTATAATATTCCTCTTCATTGTCATCTTATTATTATTGTTAATATTATTTCTATAATTATTATCAATACTATTATTATTGTTATTATGATCACTTTTATTGTAATGTTGCAGGTTTTTACTTTAGATTAGTACTTGTACTATTTGTAAAAGTCCTTGAGATTTTACAACTTATTTCAGAATATATATATTGAATTGAATTGAATTGATTAATGCATGATTTATTCTTAATAAAAAAAAACTTGATAAAATAGTTTTCATTTTTTTATTACTCTTATTTAAATTTTATGACGACTGAAATTTTATGAGGACTGAAATTTTATGAGGACTGAAATTTTATGAGGACTGAAATTTTATGAAGACTGAAATTTTATGAGGACTGAAATTTTATGAGGACTGAAATTTTATGACGACTGAAATTTTATGAGGACTGAAATTTTATGAGGACTGAAATTTTATGAGGACTGAAATTTTATGAGGACTGAAATTTTAAGAGGACTGAAATTTTATGAGGACTGAAATTTTATGACGACTGAAATTTTATGAGGACTGAAATGTATTTTATGAGAAATGGAGATGAAAAAATAAGTCTACATAGTTCTATTATGTATACTCTCATCTTTAAACAAATGCGAAAAGAAAGTTGTTGCTATGTGTAAAGAAAGTAGGGATGTACTGGAATCCGGCCAGAATTTGCAAATAAAATTACATTTGTATTTTTTACCTAAGTTTACCAATAGTTCTTCATTGCTCTGTAGGATAATATTTTTTTGATTTATTTTCACAGCCTGTGTCACATGTCATAAGAAAAAAGTGAATTTTTTTTTTTAATTCCAGCCATAAGTGAATTGATTTAAAAGACACAATCTCTGGACAGAATTTTGGTACATCACTAAAAGAAAGCATGTTGCCATGTGTTTCATCAAAAAGAAAACCAAAAGAGGTCTACCTTAAAAGAGCGGTGTTCATAGTGGAACAGAACAATGGTGTTTATCTTGCTCAGCTTTACTCCCTTTATGCTGCAATCAAAGTAAAAGAACCACAAAAAAATATCTATATTTTCTTCTAACCTTGGGTCATTGAGCCAATTCTCAAAGAACTACTGCCATATCTACCATATTCATCTATCAAACGCTCCTATATATTCATCTCAATGATTGAAAAACTGGCAAAAGAACAAAATTTACAAGAATTTAATAAAAATGTAAAAAAAAAAAATTTAGAGAATAATTTCTACTTCGAACAGTTGTATATTTAAAGATTTAAGTAAAGTTATACATTACTTTTTTTTAGAGTTCTTTGAGTTATGACAATCAAACATTGGCAATGATGATTATTTATGTCCAGCATTTTTTTAAAATAGAGAAAATAATGATCAGTGCATTAAAGATGACACAAAAAAGGTTAAGGAAACAAAATGCTTAAATTGCATATATCGGTGAAATAGTATTATGAGAAACAGCCCATTCAAGTGCTAAAACAAGAAGGTTAAAAAAATGATGAAAAAGTATTTAAATTGGAATATATATACATAAAAAATTTAGGAAAAATTAGAGGTAGTATCACTTCAACAATCATAAAATTGCAAGCACACGTTTGCATGTTATTACTAGCCTAGTATTAATAACAACAACACTTGAGTTTTATATAGATAAGAATAATAGAAAGATATATTAACTTATTCAAGTTAAAGTCGAATTGAATATAAGTTGTTTAAAAGTTGTTCCAGGAGAGTGTTAAGACAACAATTTAACATTAGACATTTAAACCAAGTTGACATTAACACTTGAAGTTGCTTGATAGTTGTTTTAACAAAGACTTAAGAAAATTAAATTTGCTAGTTATTATAAATAATTAAAAGACGAGTGATTTGTAAATAAAATTTATTTACGATAATCAAAAATAAAAAAAATACATAAAAAATGAAAACATATCAAAAATTAATAGAACCTCAAGAAAATTATCATGGTTATTTAAAAACTGTTTCACTTCTTGAATAGACAATCCTAATACACATTTCGCAGATGGGAGCAAATAAATTTGCAATTCAACTAAGCGTGCAGTTTGTAAGCATTTATGTGAATAATGAAAGCAACCATCCTAAAATAAAAAATTTAACATATATAACCAATGAAATTCACTTCTGCATATTTATTCAAAGATAATATTTTTTAATCTTTGCAGTTGCATCTTTTGGAAAAAGATGAATACTAATATAAAAAAATGATTTCTTTCATTCACAGATAATCACTTTTTGAGTATGAATGTATTATACAAATTACCCATAATTACTTACAAAAATACAGATAAACCAATATAAAATAAGCCTTATTGAGATGTGAAAAAGGTTTTTAAAGAAGTTTCCATATATCACTATTTACTACAGAATTAAACTGTTCATAAGAATAAGTCTATTTGTTAAAAGTCTTTACTGATAGGGGGACACAATATTTTTAGCTCATTAAATGTTTGGGGAAAACTCTTGCCTATATGCTATACCCTGAAGGTAATAGAAATCAAATTTTTAAAATAAACTCATCTTTTTTAATTTTCTAAATATATAGGCTACTACAATATAGAAGGCTCTAATCTAAATATCAAAATTTAGATTATAGTTGTACATTAGTATATATTTGATTATAGAAGTACTATATTGTGTTAGGACTAAAACTTTATAAAAATATACTTTTAATTAAATATATTATTAATAAACAGGTATCTAACGTCACTAAGCACTAATTAAATAATTTTGAGAAATAATAAAACACATTTTTCTTATTTCATAAAATAAGAAAAATGTGACCTCTGTGGTTTTACCCGTGTGGTCTACATTTGTTTAAAAAGGGAAAAATTTTAGGACTGCATCAAGAGGTGTGAATGAACTTTTTTAGATTCATGTTATCAAAAGTAATTTTTTATTATCAAATATACATCCATTTGCATTAGGATGTTTTTAAAATAGATTTCCATAAATTTAAGTATATAATCATAGTTTATTTAGAATATCAAATCAAAATATTTTGAAGCTTTTTAATTATGTTTCAGCTAACAAGACAGCAATGTACTGAAATAACCAAAAATTTAGATACAGAAATAACCAAATATTTCAGAACAAAAATATACCTTTAGTATAATTATAATTCTGTTTAGAAATTAATTTCGAAATTATACTTTACAACAGCATTGTAATTTATATAACTTAATTTCTTTAAAAATTTAATAAATGTTGGAATTGTAATTGTGAACTCGTATAAAAAAGTTTAAATGTAAAACTTGTGATCTGCATACAATTAATATGACAATTAATAAATATTGTAATAAGAGGTAAACGATTTTTACAGTGTCACAGCGAAAGAAAACAAACACTTTATATTAAATTTGTAAATCTTATATAAAGATGTTGAAAAATTATGTTTATGAAATTGCAAATTATTTTATTGTAAATTCAAAGATGAAAATCCTCAGCAAAAAATGGTGGATGGTCACCATAATCATTGGTCAGAGCAGTTAAAGATGTTCAAAATAAAATTCTTAGTGAATGGAAAGCTGCCAAAATATATGAAGTAAACAGGTAAACATGCACAAAAAAAAATGGAATCCAAAACATCTGCTGATGGAAAGTTTGAAAGCAAACTGTACACTTCAAGTCTGATGAAATTTTTTGCAAAAACAGTGGAACAATTTTTCAAAAAATATTGCATAAAAACTTTGAAAATAAGGTACCATTTAGGTACAAATAAACTTCGGAGTCTAACATGAGTTCGCAGTGAAATTAGAAAAATCTATACCTCATTCGAAAAAGGTTCATTAAATCCGTGGTTAGAAAAAAATAATGCTGGTAAAGATTAGTTGACTGCATTTTTAAAACAAAACCAGGATTTATCAATTCAAAATCCAGAAGCTACAATTGTCAGCTTTTAATCAACACAATATGGGTTTTACTTTTACAACAATATTCAAGTATTATTTCAAAAGTTCCAGTTTTTTCCTTTTCAGATCTGGAATGTTGACGAAATAGAGATTACAACAGTTCAAATGTCCAAACAACTCCAATGTCTAAAACAGTGAAAGTACAATTGAACTCAAAAGCTTCAGGATTGAAAAATCTGCTTAAATCTCTGTTGCAGGGTAAGCTTAGTAACCAACTAATGACCTTAACTATAAACTCTTGTAATTTTTATCAGGCTGGCTTACTTTATGTGAGACTAATTTAAATCTAGCTGTTCCTTTTTCAGGTTTCAGTGTTGATGGGTACTATCCTTTGGCTTGCAAATATCCAATAGTCACATGTTTGGCTAGGCGGTATACTTACACACTAATTCACCTATTTGTGTAGAAATCAGGTTTGAAAATTTGACTGTTCTTTTTTTTTTTTTTTTGTTATTTGCATTCACTCCCAACAAGGCTGCAAGCAACCACTATTAAGTTGGGAGTTACTAGGAAAAAAAAACAATAGAGTTATAGAGCAAGGAAACAGTTGACAGAAAACTTGAAAAGTTGAAGGTTGTATGAGTCAGGAAAACATGAAGATGGGAGAGAGTTCCAAAGGATTGAAGTGTAGGGAAAAAAACTAGATGAATAAAAGTTTTTAGAGCATGCAGGGAGAGATACAGTAAACGAATGAGACTTTGTTGAATGACGAGTAAAACGAGAATGAATTTTAGTTGATGGAACTAGAGATGATAACTCCTTTGAGCAGTGACCATGATAGTATTTGTAGAAAAAAGAAAGAGATGCAACTTTACGACGATGGGAAAGAGGGTCAAGCTTAGCAGATAGTCCAGGTCCAACAACATTTACAATGCATTTTTGGACCTTGTCAAGAAGAGAAAGTAAATCGTTAGAAGAACCAGCCCAAATATGACAACAGTATTCCATACAGGGACGAATAAGAGATTTGTAGAGGTAGAGAATGGAATCAGAAGTAAGAAAATGGCGCGCACGATAAAGAGAAGCAACCTTAGCAGAAGCTAATTTAGCAATCGATTGTATATATGGTTTCCATGAAAGGTCAGTAGTAAGCGATAATCCAAGAAGACGTAAAGAGGAGGACTCAGTAAGAGGATTGCCATTCATTAATGTATATATATATTCATATTACGGTAGTTGTTTGCAGTAAACAACTGGGTTTTGTTAGAGTTGAAATTCACAAGCCACTGTGAACCCCAATCTATTACTGAAGTGAGATCGGATTCAAAATCAGCTGCTTGTTCTAGGCGATCAAAAAGAGAAGACTTTTTGTCAAGACAGGAGTATAAAGTTGAGTCATCAGCAAAAAGAGCTACTTTAGATGAAAGGTTGTCAGGAAGAACGTTTATGTAGATAAGAAACAAAACAGGGCCAAGGATGGAACCTTGGGGGACCCCAGAAGTTACTGGAAATAAAGAAGAGTGTTGGCCTTCAAGGATGACTTTAATAAACCGTTTGGAAAGAAATGATTTGATAATCTCAAAAACTTTCCCAGAAACACCATATGAAGAAAGCTTATGGAGAAGACCAGCATTTTATGTACCTCTGCTTAATACCTCTTTGCCATATCATCTTTTTCTTTGTTCTTTATTGTTCTCCTTTTTTTCAAGACTACATGCTTTTAGATGCAATTTCTGACCAAACTTCTGACCAAATTAACCATGCCCTTTCTTGTTACCTCTGCCAATAATGTTGTTATTGGTGACTTTAATGCTTATCATACTGAATGGCTTGGCTCTAATGTCACTAATTAGTACCTGATAAATTCTGAAATTCTCTATCCTTACTCAGATAGTTAACTTTTTTCCTGACAACCCTAATCGCCTTCATTCTTTGATTCATTCTCTAATCACCTTTATTTTTAAATTGTGGCAAGTGGCTTGTTCCTGACCCTAGCTTGTGTTCAGCTTCTCCTTTTTCTCCTTTAGATGGTTTTGACCATGAAATGTTCTCTACAAATCTTTCATCTTGTTCTTCTTCAGGCTCAACCTATCATTGCAGTACTTACTACTACCCTAAAGATGATAGGGATTCTTTTTGAGATTTTCTTTGTGATGGTCCTTGGGGTGATATCTTTTCTTTTAACTGATAAATGAGCCTCCTACATAACCTCCTGGATTTAGGTAGAAATGGAAGCTTTATTCCTTCTTGTTTGTTTCAAGTTAAGTTTCATCCTGAATTCTAAAAGAATAACTTTCTTGAGATCAAAAAGCTATTTATTAACGCAAAAAATTGGTGGAAAGAAGTGCTGTCTGATGCTAAGCTCCATTATTCTCAGTTCACTAAATCTTTCTGTAAAAGCAAGAGCAATTGCTTTACTTTGCTTAAGTTAAATATTTTTTTAGTTGAATTGTTTTCCTTGGTTTCTTAGAGGTTCCAGTTTACAGAAATTTACTGCACATATATATACACACATTTATATATGTGTGTGTGTATATATATATATATATATATATATATATATATATATATATATATATATATATTAATGTATATATATATATATATTTATATATATATATATATATATATATATATATATATATATATATAAATATATATATATATATTTATATATATATATATAGCTATAAATATATATATATATATATATTTATACATATATAGCTATAAATATATATATATATATATATATATATATATATATATATATATATATATATATATATAAATATATATATATATATATTTATATATATATATAGCTATAAATATATATATATATATATATATATATATATATATATATATATATAGCTATAAATATTTATATATATATAGCTATAAATATATATATATATATATATATATATATATATATATATATACATATATATATATATATATATATAAATATATAAAAATATATATATAACATATTGAACCGCCATTAGAGAAGATTTTTAAAAGTTATTTTTGTGTACGCATTTATCTCCAAAAAGAAATTTATAAATAAATTTATTTATAAAATTTGACAATTGCACTTTATTTGATTATTTACCGAAAAAGTTGTAATGCTTTTATCAAAAGTTGTGTTTAGTTATACACATATATTTAAAATATACTTGTTTTATAAAACATATAACTGTTAATTTTTTAAATTTAATTCG